GTGAAGGGTGTTAGTTTGACCAAACTTTTTGTACGATAAACTTGTGGTGTTGTACGGAAAAAGGGGGAAAAATCGATTTCTTCAACAATAAAACGTTATCTGGACAATCCTCTCAGCCCGCGTGGGCTGCTCGACCATCATAATTACTGTGCACCGCCATTCGATCGGGGCTATAAAAATGTATAATACCAGGTAATTTTATGGACGCTATAAAATTATAACCATCAACAAGAATAGATGGGATGTTCTCGAATTTTTGAAATATACTACCACCAACTAGTGAAACTCTAAACATATTTCGCTTGATGTTTGCACAGCCGTCAAAAAACGACCACGCCCGGATATCATACATTTATTTTTTAATTTTCATAGAGCTAATCGATATTAGTTTAAAAAAAATTATTCACTTGAATAATACTACTTGAAACAATTAACTACCTAATTTATCAAGTAAAGATGTAAACATCAATGAACTTTTCAAAACAACAGTAATATTAAAAAACATTAAATTACGAATATAGAAATCGTCAACCTATATGATATAATAAAATATTTTACACAATATAACTAGCATTACAAACATTTAATAATAAAATAAGTTTTTCCTCGGCAAGCCACTTAGGTAAGCAATGATCTTAGAGCGGTCTATCAAATAGAAAAACTACGAATAATATCAATATTAAGCTTAAAAAAATTATTTTATTACACATAGATAGTAAGTATAAAATATATATGTTGGTACATATTCGACTTGTTTTCAATTATTTAAAAATATTCAAAAATAAAATTAATAAATTAATTGAAAAAAATGTTTAAAAAAATTTGTAACGAGTCACATATAATACCCTCACGGGCTGTATTTGACCCGCGGGTCGCAGGTTGGGCAAATATGATCTTATAATTTATAGTATAGATGATAAAATCATATTTAATTAACTAACTACTATAAGTATAAATGGAAAATTATTATTAGAAAGTTTCAAAATTAAAATTATTCTTATTTCTTTATACTTTAAAACAATTTAATATTAAATGTATATAATATATATTATTTAGAGGAATTTAATCTTAATACATTTTAATCAATCGTAATGTATAAAAATATATTGATTTAGGTATAATCACTATAAGTAAGCTAAAAAATAGAATTCATTACAGTGGCTACGAAATCACGTAATTTTTATTTCTGAAATCGTTCCAAAAATTAAAAGTAAAACTAATAATAAAATAGAATTAAAGAAGTGCTATAAGATGTTTCAATATTCTAATAAATTTATAGTGAATGGGAAAAAGATTTAGCTATATAAAAAATTTAATACAAACTTCCCATCTTATAATTGGTTTGGATTAACATTCAGCAAACATGTTTCTGTCTATAGTTGGAATTATAGTAAATTATTGGGTAGGCCTACTGCACAATTTTAAAGAATATAGACCAACATTATTTCGAACACTAATTGTCAAAATAATTAAGTTATATAAATAAATTAATTTCTTTAAATTAATATTTCGATTCCATCTTTAAAATAAATTAACTCATAAATAAAATAATATCATATTATTAAAATTATTGTATTTTGTACTCATACATGTATTATTGTCTAATACATTTTTGTTCTAATTCTATTAATTCTTTACCTTAAGAAATTATTTAGATTAATAACAAATAAAATAATATTAATACGATTAAAAATCATCAGTAACATAACACAAAAATTAAATTCATATTTTACACATGTATAAAGTATGTGAAACTAATTATTTTATGTTCATAATTTGTAAAAATAAATCGTGATTATTGGAGAGCAGCAAGGAGAGCAGTGACGGTGGCAGCCAAAACTCTTACAGAGTTGTGAAGGAACATAAGAAGAAGATGTAAAAATACTGACTCAACAGTATAATACTTAATAAAACTATTAAAAAACTATCACTATTAAGTTTGCCACTATAAATGTACTATTGTTTATCATTAGAAAAATTAGATATATTTTTTTCACACTGAATTTAGAAACACAAAAATAAACAACAAATACTGATAGTTCATAATTCATGAGACTGATCGAACAATGGAAAAATCTCAATTTTATTATATGATTATATATTATAATTAACATAAGATTTATCATTTTCTAAGAATTCTAATAATTCAATTACCTTTACATTTTTTTTTTTTTTTTTTTGCTGTAGTACTAAAAAAGTTATATGTTTAAAACGAAAGTCGTTTTCTTCATTTTTTCTGCATAGCCATAAATGCACAATTATAAGCTCCTTAGTAAAGATTTGAAGATTATAAAATATTGTACTAACCATATAATTTCATAATATCAACAATAGTTAAATCAAATATAAGTCATAATAATACAATGTATTTTGAAATTTTTAATTTGAGGATAACTATTTTCGATTAAATTAACATAAAATAAATGTTTAATCATTATATCATTAAGGTGTACAAGCCAATTTAAAAATTGACTTCTAATTCATAATTAAATTAAAAATTAAATTAAATAAAAATAAAAAATATGCATCATGTACTTTGAAAATATCTCTGGACAATTCACATTTAAGGCGTCTGGCTGAATTACCAAGAAGTTCGTTTGAATGAAACTGAGCGATGAGACAATTGGTGAGGTATAACGATTTAAAGTAGAAGCATACATAATTATGAGAAGTTGTTTGTTTTATGGTAAAGATTCTTAGTTGGTTATGCAGTGATATATTAATAACGTACCAGGGAACATTTACGATCACGCGAAGACAAATGGCTTGGAATGATAGAATGGTTCTAGTGTTTAATGGTTTAGCCGCACCCTAAAAAACAATTTTATAAAACCTAATGGGTTTAAATAGGCTTTTGTGCAAAAAAAAGGCGGTTAGAAAAGTTTATATTTAATTTCAGAAGAAGTCTTAGAATATGAGAGCAGCTATTGAGTTGTTTGCGTTTATTCTAAAGATGAGTCAGTCAAATAATAGAATCAAGTACAAGTAATGTAGTGGTCACTTTTCAAAGAATAAAGTGATGACTCTGGTGAAGACAGTCTCCTTGGCAAAAAGAAAATGTGACATAAGTTGGCTTGGAGTCGTTAAATTTGATTTTTAATTTGGTTTCGCGGATGATTTAGATATACTTGGTGAATCGCTTGCTGACACAGCTAACGCGACCAAAGTGTTAGAAGACGCAGCAAAAAAAAATAGGTCTTGAAATCAACACTGAGAAAACAAAAATAATACAACTCATTGAGAGTGAAGATGAACTCAATGAAATGGAGGACAAGCTATGAAAAAGTTGACTTTAAATACTTAGGATCAATGTTAAGCACAAAGAAAGACTAGTCCAAATAAATAAGTATTCGTATAAGTAAAACCAAAAAAGCGTCGTACACTCTGACATTTTTTACATCCAAAATGCTATAAAAAAAATAAAAGCTGCGAAGCTTGGACGACATAAAAACAAACATAAAGAAATTTGAGGACGTTCAAAAACAGGATATGGAGGAAAATATGTAGGTCTATCATTGATAAAATAATAATGAACTGGCGGAGGAGATATAACAGAGAATTGTACGCTATATTAAAACTTGCACTAGAAACAAGTTTTATTAAAGGTCAAAGGATATAATGGCTAGGGCGATACCCGTTTGCGTATAAATGTACAACTCAATTGCGCACACGAATTTTTAATACCTGCGATGACTCGTTTGCACAGATTAACTATAGCAAGTTTTTACATTGTATATTTTTTATTAGTACATCTAAACAACATATCATCTAATTTTAAGACACAGAACTCACTATATTAATAGTTTTCAATATTAAAACAACGCTTTCCTCTGTGCGTTTCAAAAACATTTGATATTTGAATATCCATGGCACTACAAGAAATAAAAAGACTAAAACACTACCTAACAACTAATTTCTCGATAGCATTACACGTTCAATTAAACAATAGGCATATAGTATTATGATAACTCAAAATATAGCCAAAATATCCTTACACAAGTTGATCAAAAACTTTTTCGATTACGAATATCTTATCAAAATGTTTAAGATAAATCATATCATTATAAGGCACTGCAAGTCACCATAAAAGTCTATATTGGGAATGAAATTTGATAGTTGTACGCAAACGACTCGTCATTTTTCAGGTCAAAATTAATACTAGCTGATTTTCATTATTTTTGTTGTATGCAAACGAGTTGTCAGTTTCCAGGTGAAAAATTGTATATTGTGCACAAAAAAATAGCACCGAATGGCTAGGCCACATAATGAAAAGATGAGAAAATGAAACAGTGAGAGCAGAATTAAAATGGAAACCAGTAGACAACCAACCTAAAGGAAGACCTAGGAAAATATGGATGAATATGGTTGAAGAAAACCTAAGAACTTTAGATGTTGAGGACTGGAGAAAGGCAGTCCAATAATGAAACAGGTGGCAAATTTTAGTAATGGTGAAAAAAACTCCTAAAAAATAGACTTACCAGAAGCAAAAAAAATTTGATTTATAAAGAAATGAATCAGCGAGATATTTAGGTGATGATGAAGTAGCTAACTTATATCGAAAATAGTTTATGTTTATACTGGTTACAAAGTGTTAATTAGAAGCTGTTTAATATTAATATAATTTAAATATTTATTAATACCCTTTCAAAACTCTTATATATCTATAGGTATATAATTATTTACCAATATACCAATATTATTTACAAAAAAATGTTAGCTGAGCAATTCAATTTACTTCATATTTTCTAAATTATTTTTAATGATGTGTAGTAATATATTCAAGACGTGGATAAGCCAAAAATAACAACGATGATAGAAAAAACAAAGATAGACAGATATAAAAAAAGATAGTATGATCATAACAGCCGAACAAGTATTTGGCCTTTTGCCCCTTGAAATGAGCAATAAATAGTATATATGGCCGACTTTGAGTCTCATTTAAATTTCTTTGACCATTGCTTAATATTTATCGTAAATAATTAAAAATATTCAAATCTTACCTGTTTTTCTCCAGCTCGTTGTGAGTTGTTCTGCAACAAAAACAAACAATAAATTAATTGCTTGGCTAAATATAAATTTACATAATGTTCTACATTTTATATTTGTAAAATATTTTGCAGCAAATTCTATTGTTTGGCTTAAAGCCAGTACATTAAAATGATAAATTCAATAACTAGGCCGCGTGCATGCTCGTACGTACAGTAATTTTAAAAGTAAAACATCAAAAAATACATAATGGGTACAACTAATTTTATTATTTTGACGAAATTTGAAATATTAAAAAATGTATAGTAATCCCACTATTTTCCAATAATAAAATAAACATAACACAAAGTTATTGAGCTTCCTATATTTTATTTTATAAATTTACTAGGAAATGTTCTAATCATAAATATAATTAGTAAATAACTTTTAAATGATTGGGCAACTAAATTTATTATATGCTTTGGTTAATTTATAACTAATTATACTTTGTCGTATATAAAAAAAATCTTATAAAAATTAAATTAAATTCAAAAAATCTACAACTGTAAACCATATCATCATGATACTATTAAAATCTGAATAACAAAATTAAACAATACATTTCTATTCTAATTAGAACATTCCTAGATTAAATACAATCATAATTTTTTATCGGTTTATAATAACTTACAGTATATCTATAACAAATTTTTAATCATTAGATGTTAAAAAAATGTATTAGGAACAATCAAAAATACAGTAATCAATAGCGACTCTTAAAAAGAGAGTTTATTAAATAATATGTAATAAATTGATAAAGAATACTACAATTTAATAAACCTGTAAAATTACATTTATATGATTTTAGTTTCTTATAACTAGACCGCGAATTATATGCATTTGCATATCTGCATATGGAATTTCATATAATCGCCTTTTTTACCAAAGATGCATATTTCATTGATTCGTAATGTAAATGGCATATAATCGTATTTTTATACAAGAAACACACTGATTAAATGTCTTAAAACAAATACTTTATAGATATATAGCTCATAATAACTGAACTAATTGACTGAATGAGTTTCTACTGCCATCGTTAAATATAAATACTATATCGAGTTTTTGATATGATAACGTTTACTTGTTTGCACAAGCCATGTTCGAACAAAATCAATTCATATTTCTTTTTGCGTACACTTTTCAGTTTCATTTTCGTGATCCACCAAAACATACACGTTAAAATATTAATTTATTTAATAAGACGCCTCCTACTAAAAATACACGTATTCATGTTTGGATAAATGAATATCCAGGCACGTTTACTACTGACGGAATGGTTGTGTACTGCCAGATATGTGAGAAAAAATACAGTGTTTAAAGAAATTTCAAATTGTCCAACACATACGTACAACAACTCATATAGCAGCCTCCGAAAAGAAAATAAGACAACCCATACTTCTGGTAGCCAGGCGCTTATATCACAATCTCGTACTAACATAATGACACGCAAGGATGATTTCAGCAATGATTTATGCGAGGCATTAATAGCGAGTAACATTCCTTCAAAAAAAACTAAGTAATCTGAAATTCCGTAGTTTTCTGAAAAAAATATTCCACGAATCAAAACATACCAGACGAATCCACTTTACGAAAAAATTACATGGTAGGCGTTAATATATAAACGCTTACATTTTTTTTCTATAGAAATGTCTTGGAAAAAATTTGAAGTAATATTGAAAAACACCTAATTTGGATTTTGGCATATTACTACAGATTAGTGTGAGCGTTACATTGCGAATTTATTTATTGGAAAATTATCCCTAGAACCTTTTCCCGCATACCTCATTTCTTCTAAAGCACTTGAAAAAGTCAACCATTCAACTATAGTTCGATTCATAAATGATAGTATCACCGCATTTTTTGTCGATAATTCTATCACTGAGAGAGTCTGTGTTTTTATTTCTGATTCAGTTCCATACATGACGAATGCTGGAGTAGCCCACAACATTTTCTACTCAAACTTGATCCACGTAACTTGATTTGCTCATACTGTTCACCACTTTGCTGAAGAAATTCGAAACGAGATTTTGGATGTGAACAAATTTATTTCTGCCGTGAAAAAAGTATTCATGAAAGCACCACCGCGAATACAAACGTACAGATAACAATTGCCAACTTTACCACTTCCACCAGAACTTGTTATTACGCAATGAGGTACTTGAATCAAAAGTGCTTCCTTCTACAGTGAGTATTTCATGGAAATAAAAGGGGTAATTAACCAATTTAAAAGTTCTGAAGCTTTATCAATTCGTGATGCCAAGAAAGCATTTGAAACTCCGTCGATACAACACGATTTAAATCTGATTTATACACATTTTTCTAAAATACCAGAACTAATTACAAGTATATCAAGAAATTTGCTACTAAACAATTCATTAAAGGTTATGGAGGAATTATTGACAACAGCGTCTGAACTGCCTGACGTATTTTCAGAAAAAAAAAACAGAACAAAGATTACTCGGTTACTAAACAAAAATCCTGGCTATGATTCCCTAAGTATGATCGACACTTACATTGATGGCACAAGTACTGTATTGCCCAACACAATAACGAGTAACATGACTTCTAAGTTTAAATACTGCTATATGACGTCCTGTAATGTTGATAATGTTGAACGGTCGTTTTCTGCTTTTAAACTTACTTGGATGATAAACGCCATGGTTATACAATAGACCACTTGAAGCAACATTTAGTAATATACTGCTACGAGAACTATAGTTCTAAATAAATATATATAAATCTTATATAGTTATTATTAATTATAATAAATTTCATTATCATTTTTCCGTATTTTTTTTTTTAAATTTAATTTATAATGCATATTTTAACATAGTCTATGTATATTTCTATATTTTATGATGCATATAATAGAGTATTTTCACTGCATATAATCCGCCGTCTACTTATAACATTATAATTATATTCAGCCATATTATGAGTATTGATAAAATAACAAGTTTTTTCCAAAATACAATAAAAAATAAAAAACAAATATATTATAAAGATAACTTTGTTAATTTTATTTTAATCAATTACAAAATAGTGATGCTATGAAATTAACGAATTAGAATAGATAAAAATACTAAAGACAATAACTACAGTAACAAACTCAATTTAGTATAAGATAGTTATTGAAACAAAAATCTAAGAAAAAGTTATCTTAAGTTAACCTCAAAAGGCTTTGGAAACTGTAGATACTACTTTAAAAATAAAAAATCAATAATTCAAAGGAGACGAGAAAATAAAATAATACTACACATAAATAACGTACACGAATATTTTATGTCTAAAGAAAAATCATCCCTACGTAAAATTAAAACATAGCATTGACAAACATAGTGTTTTTACTGAGTGCAAAAATCTAAAAGTTCCCGCACAAAAAATCTACTAATATACTTGCAAGTATAAGTAAAAAACTCGAGAAAAAGAAACATACTCAAAATAATTATATATATATATATATATATACACTGTTAATTGTACAAAAAATTTGATAATATTCAAGTATAATTATAGCTATGTATCAATAACATATCTATATATAATAAGTGAATTAAAAAAAAAAATAGTTATCAAATTAAATAAGTATAAAAATATATTTGAAGAGACCTAAATGTAATCTGAGGTATCGAAATTCGAGTTATCGCACTCAACTATTTGTAAATAATCAGAATATAGAATTTGGATCAGATACAAGATAGTAAAGTAGGCCATTAGGGCAGATGACTTGAAAATTGAAAGGAATGATTAATCATCGTACTCCAAAAACAATTATGAACGCAACTTGGTTAAATATACAATAAGGTATATTGTTTGTAAATTGTATACGTACGAGTACATCCATAAAAAATTATTATTCAAGACATTAGAAATAAGTTTATAAAAATATTATAAATTGTAATTTATAATTTATAAAAATAAGTACTATAAGAATAATTTTTTTTAAAAATTCAAATGTTTACCCTCCACAAAAATTAACATTCACTTAAGTATTTAGAAATAATTTTAAACAGTAAAATCCAATAACTGTTTTTAACTTTTAACTCCTCGATTACAATATTGATTTTACTCTCCAATTTTATTATATACCTACCATTCCATAAAATATCGCAAATTCTATAATATTTTTTTTTTATCAAAACAAAATGAATATATTAACATAACAATGTTTTTTTTTTTTTGGATTAAAAACTTGAAACACCAAAATGTATTATTGAAAACACTTACATGGGACAGAGGAAAATACCTCAATTCATTATAAAATCATCATAAAAACTATACATTTAATAAAGCAGTTCAAATACAACTGAAAACTGAATTTAAGTTCATTAAAAAAAAAAATTTGATTATACATTTTAAAAACCTATCATACTCGTACTACTTAATTTTATACACTTGATCAATAAATGTAATATAGTTATTTTATAATATTTTATATCAATATAACCTATATATTTTTATATCTGTTGGCAACAATTTTATAATGTGATGTTATTTACAATGTAAATTATTAAAATGCTATTATAAGTTCTCAAGAAATATATTTTTCTCTATAAAAATGAGGAAGTGTTAGAAATATGTTCTGATATATAAATTTATGTAAACAATTTGTTATCTTTTTTTTCTCCTGGCTAAAAATAATCTTTAATTTCTACCAGAAAAAAGTATTCAGAGATACGGACTAAAACTTATACACTCAAATATATTCTTGTACCTACCCACTGTAACTTATTTTAAGTACTGTAAATCAAATTTTGTTTACAGGAATAAAATAGATTTTTACGACCATTAATTATAAGACAATTAAATCCACATTTAGAGAATATAAATCAAACAATAAAATTGATTAAATTTGCAATAGTCCGTTGTATTTTATTTTGACTATTAACATAATACCGAGAACAAAACTTAAATATGTTAATACATTTTGGAGAACTGAATTTAAAAGTATGAGAGTTAAGTTCTTCTACACCCTAATTTTTAAATGACACAGTTATAGATAATATTTGAAATCAATGATTGAATGTTGACATATAAGAAAGTCATAAAAGGAACAATTCTTTTACTGCTAATTTTAACATAGTTAACGACTTTAAATCTATATATATATATATATATATATATATATATATATATATATATTATGATTAGCATTTAATTGAGCAGACTAAAATAATTTGTTAAAAAATTAAGCAAAATAATCAAATAAGTTTGACTACAGTCCTCATCATACAGAATAAGTAAAAAAGTTTTATTTATAAAAACTTCAATTATTATAATAGCCTAAGAAACTTTTTTTCAAGAGTAATTAAAATAAAATATTATCCAGCATGATGAAACTTTAATAAACATTTCTGATGAAAAGCTTTCATGAATACACCTTCAGATGGCATTCTATTATTCACATATTATGCATAAAAAAAAAAGTAACAGATACATTTTTTTTAACCCTTTGCCATAAGGAGTTATAAAAAAGAACGAATACACTCCTAATCATATCGGCAACGTGTAAACATCGTTAGTTTACATATGACAGTAATTTCCTTCCCGGAAGCTTTTATCTTATGTAAGTTGGCAACAATTAAAGATGCGTGAGGGCTTTAAAGAAGAAAAAATGATAGGCCTTTAATAATTACCTATGTAATCATGGAGAAAAGTTTAGCGGATAGAGAGGGTTAAAAATGAGGAAAAACAAACATACATTTTAAAATAAAATAATCGCATAGTAAGGCTATTTGGATTTATTTTCTTCAAAAACGTCACATAATTCAACTAAAGACAAAATTGATAAAACTGATATCAGGTACTTTTATATCGATAAAAAAATATATTGGTAGTTATAACATTTAAACGGGAAAATTGTTGTAAATTAACTTACAACTTCACAAACTGTAAAATGGTTTATTTTTTTCAATATGAACAGGAAAAATGTAATTTATACTTTGATCAACTTGCATTAGCTAATAATATGACAGTTAATGTCCACGATTTTCTTTGAGTAGGACACCACCTTCGAGTGACTTAATAGCCCACGTTTGAAAATCAATTAACTTATCTTATTAAATACTTATTAAATCAATAACTTACGCAAGAGAAACAAAAAAATAAACGAAGAACAACATTTAAAAACGACGATTGTATTTTCTGAAACACTTGCATGTTCGTTAAAGCACAATAATAACAATAATAATAATAATTTACTTTGTTTTGGTATACGTATGATAATAAAATCGAAATTACCAAAGGTACAATACCATGGAACAAAAGACCGCTGAGGATCTTTGACAAAAATATTGTATCGGTTCCACGACACGAGCAAAGCGGCAAGCCCCGTCCGTGCCGGTGCCCGCACACGTTACACGTCACCCACCGATGATAGGGTGGTCGGTGGAGTCGCGCGGCGAGGCAACGGCTGCGTTGTCACCGAGGCGAGCGCGAACTCTATTAACCTTGACATTTAAAAGGTCATATCGCGACTTTTTCCATCAGAAAATGCGGTGAACGCTACTCCGCGTAAGTTATAGACTTGTACCCACCTTATTTTTATTTTTCCCGCTAATACTATTACCGTCAAATTCGTTAATTATTACTATTATTATACTGTAAACGACTACGCTCCGCCAAGGCACGCCGAACTCGGCTTCGTTTTTGACACAAGGTGAACAGGGTCAGACTCTGAAATACAGAAATCAAACTAATATCCTAGAGTAGGTATATACCGGAAAGTATACCCAGTTATACAATATACCGGTGTTTACAAAGAACAATTTTCAAAGGATATAGACTCCTAGAATGAATTCCTTCTTAAAGAACGGCATGTTGAACTAATTCCTTTTTATAAAACGATTTCCTTATTTCAAGAAAAAATAACGAAATTTTCAATTTTTTTCGAATTAAAATTTAAGTACACATATATTATTAGTGCATACCACGTGTATAAATTTAGTGTCGACGTTAATTAACTTATATTAACTCATAGTCAATTTAATAATATTTCTTATACTTATATTTAGTTATAATATATAGAAATCGTTGTCGTCAAATCACATAGTAGTCAGAAACTCATTTTTATCAATTTGAGCCAAAAGTGAGACTTTTAAAAAACAATTACATTTTTTTTTCTTATTGCTTATTTTTATGAGAGTATTTTGGAGGCAAAATAAAAATATAAAATAGATAGATTAATTATTAAATGCTAAAGAGTTTTAATATTAACGTTGGACGAATATAATTAATAAATTATAATAATTTAATTATAGGCAATTATTGGGATGAGGGACTTTGGGGACTTAAGCCCCTCCCTAGAAAGTGCAAGTCCTTTCAAAATACATGTTATACATTAATTTTCCAATATTTTCAAACCATAATTTATTCGTATAATCATTTTACCAAATATTTACCTTTTTTCTATCAATTTCCACATTGATAAGTTATTAATAACTAATTTAAACACAGAATGGACCATAAAATAATTAATATATAAATAAATAAAAAGATAGCTTATAAACAGAAATAAATACATGCTTAGTCTGGAATATTATTATATTTATAAAGTACAACCGGTTTCGAATTAAAAATTTATTATCAGTTCTATACAAAGTCAATAATATTGCAATTTTTCTGCAATGCGACGAATTAAAACATGGCTTCGAACCATAATGATTCAGAAGAGATTTAAAGATACATCCATTTTATACATAGAAAAAAATATACCAAAATGTATCAACAATGACAAAATTGTTGATTTATTCGTAGAAAAAAAAAAATAGATTTATAACATTAAAATAAAATATACAGTAGATATAAATTATTTATTTGTTTGTTTGTATTGCACTATTACCTTTACATATTTGGCGCCAACAAAGTTAATATAAAGGCAAGTATTTGGTTGAAGTGTAAAATTTGAATATCGAATAAGTGAGGTTAAAGTAAAAATGTCAAGCCCCCTACAGGTATGACCAAATATCTGCCTATGCCAAATGCATCTCTATTACCGCACGTCAACACATGTGACTTCAACACATGTTAAATTTATTTCACAAAAATCTGTAAAATTATGAACGACAAGATTGAACGTAAAGGTACTTTAAAGAATTTGCATAAAAGCTATAAATTATTTTTACCTAATTTTTATTTTATTTGGAACTAAAATATGAACTCGTTAATTTTTCAAAGAAGCGGCACAGGAACGGATTTTTTTTTTATTTTTGAAGAACAGGTTAAACACTACAATATATCAACAATGAAAACTATTATAGGCGAAACTCAAAAGACAAAAGATCTACTTTGTGTTGACATTTCCTAAGCCATTATACCTATGTTTATACTAACCTAGTTACTTTATTTATCAACACCGAAAACTTCAATAAATACTTTGCAATTTCTACTTACTTTACGAGTTAAATAATATAAGAACTATATAAATGCGACAAGAAAAATAAAATTCTACTTCGAGTTTCTTCTTAATCTCAAGGAGACCCATTGTCTTGGACAAGGTTCAGCTCTATTCAGTGCTCGACTTGAGGAGGGACACAGGACGGAGTACTCAAATTAATTTTCAGAAATGTGAGCGTCCCCCCTACTATTATTACGTTATAATTATAACGCTTAACAATTTTTAAGGATACTATTTTTTTTTCAAATAAGTCTCGCTTCTTTAATTTTTCCAAGTTAAGCACTGCTCAGGGGCGGCTTCAAAGCCTTGGTTAGGGAGGAAGGCCAAGTTATAATTTTACAAAATCTTATAACAAAAAGAAAACAACAATTTAGTCCAATACAGTCCTACACAGTTCATGTTTTGAATGTTATAAAATAATAATATAGTATCATACCAAAGTATATTTTATATTAATATAGGTAGTTTATATAGCCTTATTGGTTTTTCATAATATAGATGGCACATACATCGTACTGTCAAACCTCTATAGCTCTATCTACATACTTATGCGTGTGATATAATAGTTCATATTATAAAATGCATTTTTTGTTAATAATATAAATTTTTTTATAAATACGGTACGGCTTGAGGGGGGACGGACCCTAGGACCCCCCCTGGAGGCGTCCCTGGTACTACCTATACTACACGATAGCACGATAATAATATTAGTTACTCACCGGCTTCCCTGCGACTTCTTCGTCTTTGGTCTCTTTGAAGACCCTTTGAGATCGATGGTGATCGGCATCGGCGACGCATATCCGTGTTCCGCTTCTGCAAAAAATACGACGGTGTTTACACAACGTTCGGTGGCGGTGACGGAGGCGGCGGCGGAGGCGGCGGAGGCGACGGTGGAGGCGGAAGCGAAGGCATCGGTCACGGCTGTGTCGACAACGGCCGTCAGCGGCGGGGGACGCGGAGGCGACGGGTTGAACTTACCTCTTTCGCGCCTTTCCAGGTACTCGGCGGCTTGTAACAAAGCAGCGATGCTCATATTCGTTGGCGGGAGAAAACGGGGCGACGTGCCTACGCACACACGCTCGGGACACACACACAAACGCACGACAAACGAGAAAAAAAAAAAACCAAACGGTCGTGACGATACTTCAGAAGCGCACACGCACACGCAACGGTCGAGATGTCGATAAAACGATTAAATGTCCAGGCGGTTTACCACGCTGGTCGTCGTCGTTATCGATATAAATATATTATACTCGATATTAATTTATTATTGTCGCGAAGAGTTCGTCCGCGCCCGGCTAACGATTAATAATATAATTGAATGCGATTCGTTACGCGATCGACGATCGTACTTCAGTGTATGCGGAGACGCGCGTACGTGCGAACGAAACCAAATCGAAACCGTACGGGGACTCGTGTTGTATTATTCTTCCAGCGTCCCCTGGAAACGAAATGACGAGCACTAGACGGCAGGCACACGCATACGCTAAACGCCTCTATGGGCTCGGGCAGTGAACGATCGTTGCGACGACGGAGGTAGCGTTCTGAGGTACGTGCGCGGACACCGCGAACCACCGGGAGAAACCGTGGATCCGTGGACGGAAAACGAACGGGAGACGTGAATAAAGCAACGAAAAAAAAAAAAATTTAAAAATCACAGACCGAAAACACGACGATGCCGAGTGAGACGATTAATGATAACTGAATAAACGGTTTTAATCCAACGTAAGTGCGTAAGTATGTATATAAGTATGTATATATGTATATACGTATGTAAATATAAATATTAAATTAAATGTGTTACGGTATTAATTATTATGACGCGACGGCGGCGGCAGCGGCAGCGGCGGCGGCGGCGGTGTCGGCGGCGACAGTACGTCGATACCAAGACTTTGTTCGCAACTGTGGCCAACGGGTTATTGACGTGTACCGTGGTCGTGTGCTCGTAACCCGCCGACGGCGATCGAACAAAGCCGAGCGCGACGTTGTGGCGGCACGCTGGGAGGATCACGTGAAACACACGCCGCGTATACGCACCAACAGCTGACTACGGCTGCCGTGCAACGTGTACCGCCGCCGCGAAGCCCGACGCCATCTACACGCCAACCATACAGTGTTTTGTTTCCTACTCGTTGAAGGTGTATTACCTACTCTTTTGGATGGAATAAATTATCAAATTCGCTAACGTTGTTGGCCGTAGTAAATTCAACACCTAATATTTTCTTCCTAGACAAACGTGAATAACAACCATTGAAACTTAATGACTCGTAGCTACTGTTCAGGAAGGTAGGTAAATATCGGTACCAAATATTTCGGTAAATGTTGTCCTATTTTGACTTCGACTAACTAGAATTGGGCATTATAAAAATTTAGTTTGCATTCTAGACGTTTATAATAACGTTGATTAATATGGAAGTAGATAACAATAATTATATTCTAATAGCAATTCATGATCGACTATGATATGTTATGATATGACTACTAGGTTCAACTATAATGTTGAATTGTGTACAAGTCTATTATTCATAATATTTATAAAACGTTACATAAATTAATTGATTAACTCTAAAATAGATATATTTTTTTTTCTAAATTGTTCAATTTTCAATAACAACTAACCGGTACACTATAGGAATTTAAACTATTGAAATATGTTTATAAATTTAAAAATGTTATTCGAATCAATGTGGTCTTTCAAAAAAAAACCAAAAATAATGTTAACAGCGTACTTACAGCTTAATATGTTTAAATAAAGTACATAAATTATAATCTGGTAATTTGAAAACAGAAACCATATCGAACATAAGTAATAACTTACTAACTTACTACTGTTAATAGTTAGCAATATAAAATGTAAATATTAAAACACCTATTATTTAGTTCGGCTATTCATAAAGATATAACAAGATATATCATTGTAATTTTACAAAAGTGATAAAATATTTTTTAAACTCTATCCATTTCAGAATATGCAATATTACTATAGAAAGTTAACTGCGAATTATGCAAAAATATGAACAGACAAATTGTATTGAAATCCATGAAATCTTGAAATAAATATGTATCTTGGTAAGCTATAAATCTTAAGTTAAATGCAAAATACAAAAAATAAAAACATGTAAATCCCATAACTTCTCTATCCAAGACTCTAGTTATATAGGTATAATGCATTGATGAATTTATTACATCATATAATTTATTGAAGTGACGACAGTAAATCAATACTGGTTCTATTACAATATCAAACGTACAAAATTGATAGACTATTTTTAATCAAGTTCCATTGAGTGAATAAATAGAAACAAATCTCAACAAATAATATGAATATTAAGCGAAATAATTTTTATAATTAACCATTAACAGAAAATCAAAATATAAACTACAGGCACCAGATAACAAAGTCAACATCTGAAACAATTAAGTACCTACACTGAGCACGGTTATTTGGAACATTTTGATAGTATGCATTGCACAATATACAAGTAAAAGGGTTTCTATACTAAATTTTAGCTTCTTCAAATATTATAGGCTCAACTAGTATAATAACAGTATGTACAATTTCAAAATATAATTAAACCCTTATTTTAAAATTATATCAATTTAATTTGATTATTAAAAGTAGCAAAAGTGTTATATACCATAAACATCATCAATTACTACTCCATAGGTTAAAATACAAATGTATTATTTAAAATTTTCATTTATATCTATGCCTATATTGTAAACGCCTAGTACCTCTGTATATATTATAGTGATCGGTGGAGGACAAATGGGATGCAGTGTACCGTGACGAAGAAGAAAATAGGAAAAGGGAAGCGAGTGATTTTCATTCATCGGTTCATTAGTGTGAACCATGAAAACTTAAGCCACGTGTACGCAATAAATTATTTCTAACACTATAAATATTCTGCAGTGATGTATTAATACGGAGACAGACGATCCGATTAAAACTGGACTTATTGTGCTAGATCGAGTTAAAGACAATAATTATTTCAAAAAAATATTTTATTTTATTATTCGATTTGCATTTAAATATTTGATGGTAATCGAATTTATTACGATATTTATATTTCACTGTGTGTGACAAAATCAATGACCAACGTTTAGGTGTAAGTTTATTACCCAATAGGCAATAAAGCGTACCATGAAATAAACGCCACTCCAGATCAATAGTACGGTGTTTATGGATCTTCGTGTAAGCTGAACAAGTAATTTAACTCGACGCATGTGCACAGGCAGTGTACAAAAAAATTTAACATCATGACGCCACGTAGTTCCAGCTGCACAATGAACTTGCACAGCCCACTTGAACAGCTACAAATAATCCACGCGATCATCACACGAAAACCCTGTACACCTTATAATGAACTTTAAATATTGCATCATATTCAAAACGTCAGTACCATAATTTTCATCACATTTCATACTATTACAAACAATTGCAAATATACAATCTGAATTCGAAGTTCAATATATAAATTTATTTTAAAATAGAATGGATACGGCTACACGTAGTTTTTATAAATATGAAATCGCTGGAATACTATACATTATAGTGTTCGTCATGTTCTATCTTCCATAATCTCTATAAGTGGGAACGATTTATTATTTCACATTTTTATGAAATAAAGTATTAATTTTAATTTATTTTAAGATCGACCATACACATAACATTTCAATTTACAATAGAATCAATAATTTTATACATTTATTTTTTAAGCAAGTGGACAAAAATACTTATGTATTAACGTTTTGATTTTCGAGACTCTGTGCAATTTATAAAAGCGAGGCATCTATCCCAAATAGCTAGACAATTCTAAGAGTCCACCATCTGTGTCAGTAATTTCTGTAGTGATGGCGGTAGAATTTGCATGTAACTCGGACTCAAAAAAAAATGTATATATATAGTCATACACGTATGGCGACTCGACCGAAAAATAAAGTTACGTTATACGTAATCATGCCGGTATAGATAAAATTAAAATAATTATTACAATTCTACATTATAATATAATTTCTATCAATAAAAAAGTGCGGGGCTCTTTGCGGTCGGACTTTCTGTACACCCCTTGTTCTACCTCGGCTCACATACAATGGATATGCTTTTAAGTTTAATATTTTTATTTAATGAATATATAAAAAGCTTCGATTTCTCAGCTCACTTCTCTCGCAAGTTATATTATTGTCATCGTTTAATAATACACAATACATACTATTGGTAACCATAGTGACCTCTCGACCAATCAGAATACAAATAAATCAGATTTTATATATTTCCTTATGTATATAATATATATACAGAATAATAAAACATTTTCAATACAAATATTATTATGTAAGTATTACTGTTTTCCAATTTATTCGTCTGCATATTTTTTTATACACATGTAAAATGAATACTACACTAGTACAATTTAGAATTAATATTGTTAATAATACGATATGGTAATATTAATATACTTATATTCTGGAAAAATTTCCTTTAAAGTTAAAAATACACACGCTTTTTACACCACACATTCTGATACAGCCCATTTGAAAATTATATTAAAATAGAAATATAATATACAAAACAACACAAAATAATCAATATCTGTTCTTAATGTTTGTTAATTATGTAATCTTTTACTCTGTTATTAGTATTATAAAAATAAAAAATAAAAATATTTCATTTTCTAACAAAATATATTGTTCATAAATTAATATAGTTACAGTTTTACTCCAATCGGTTTGGATATATTATATTATATAACCACATTTTTTTCGCATACATTTTGAAGTAAAAAACATTTATACCAGCGTTTCATAAACTGTGTTCCGTGGAACCCTGGGGTTCCGCGAAGATCACCTCAAGGTTCCGTGAAGCTTAAGTAATTTTTTAAAAAATTTTAAGAAAATTACTTTAAAATTTCTAACTTAAGATTAGCAATGTTGAAAAACTGTTTGCATTATAGAAAAAAAATCTTTGTATATTAAATAACATGTATAAGCGATATGAAATAGTCTACATTTATATTTCGGTGCACATCACTGCGCATACATCGTTACCATTTTATAATATATCACATAAACTCCACATACAAGGTTTCTTTTTACACCTTAATTCCGCACATAATTTTTTTTTTTTTAACACCCTAACTCCGCACATCATTTTTGTATATATTTTTGTACATAATTTAAAAAAAAAACAATCGGTATTCTATCAATTAACTATCGTTATATAATTCTATGTTTTATTTATAAATTCCATATTGGTTTTTTTTTTAGTTCTAATTATCCTACTTCATTATTATTAGCAGAATTCATTCGCATGTAAGAATCCGTCTGCGTAGCTAATAAGTTTTTAATGAAAACTGCAATATTTAGATGTAGGTACTGAAGTAAATAAATTACCAAATTTTGCATGAAAAGACTCATAGTTGTTTATTGTTCTTTCCAGTATTGCTTCTTTTTTGGCCCAAATACTGGGTGGAAATATTGCATCGTTTTTTATGTATGTTTTGTCTAAGTAAGTGATCATTTTTTTAATTCGTGAATCTTGGGTTGGTCATTTTTAAAGTAATTTTCAAAACATAGTTTTATGCTATGCGGACTTTCGGTGTTAAAAATATTTTTAGAATGCGGAGCTACGGTACTTTAATTTTTTTGACCGTGCCGAATTACGGTGCATGCGGAGTTGCGGATTTACAAAATAATTTTCTTCGCGCGGAGCTACGGTGCGTCCTTATATTTAGTCTAATTAAAGTAATTATTTTTAAAGTATTATTATTATATATGTAGATATTTTTTAATTATTTTAATTTTAATTTTAAAACATTTTTTGAATTAAATACCTTTAACACAATATTATATGATTATAATTTATTTACAAAAAATCCTAAAAAAAGCTAAAAAAAAGTAGGGGTTCCACGATAAATGTGGACATCAAAAAGGGTTCCACA